TAATTAGTAGGTTTTTTTTTTCCATATTACAGTTTCCACAAGAGAATAATTAATTACCTCAATAAGTGACATGTAACTGTTCCATTTGGATAGCAAACATTGTTAAATGTCAAGAGCAACCACCCAGTGTTCTCTAACCACACACTCAAATGTACACAAATAATTATAATCCCTCTGGTTTACCAACTTCTGATTTGTCAAAATAAAGCCCTAAGAGAGGATCTCGGCAGGTGGGGATTTGGCCCGCAGTCCATAAGCATGATTGGTCTCCAAGATAGGAGGTTAAGTTGTCAGAGAGGAGTACATGTAGGGTAGCCGACCTCTGAGAGGGCTCAGTGGTGTTGATGGTGATACTGTGGGCTGGATGGGGATTGGGGAGAAATGCCTATCAGTGGTCTAGCTGGGACCAGGGATAACTCTAGATTATGGTTGATTAGTCCATCTTGGAGACCAGTTTGGCCAAACCAGCCACTGTGTCCCTGCACTCATCCCTCTTAGGCAGAAATATGCTTTCCAGTTGGGGGAGAGATGACTTGTGTTCAGAGCCCTGGCCAGGGCCAATGCACTGCCCAACTCCACAGGGCCCTGTCCCCTCCTTGGGAATGGCATTCCCTGGAGTTGGCCAATCTTGTGGCCAATCCCTACCCTCTGTCCCCAGTGAGTGCACTGTTAGTATTTTCCACCCTCTCCCAGCTAGACCGCTCATGGGCATTTCTCCCAGTCCACAATGCCACCACCACCATGCCGTCTCAAAGGCAGCGACCCTACACATACTCATCTCCGCCAACTTAACTTCTCATCTTAATGCTCTTGAAGTCATTAGGCTTTTCTCTTTCATAAAAAGTTAGGAAACTCAAGCAGAATGCTCCTCACCATGGTCATGAGATACACCATTTTGAGTAAATGACTGAACAAGTGACTAGTTATTTCAAAGAACAACTAATTTTCTAAAAGAAAACGAACCTGACAACATTCTCAAAAGCAGACACAGAGCAGTCACCCCATCTTTCCTCACTCTCTAATTCCACTTACTGAGAAGGAAGAAAATGTCACAACTGGGAAAACACCTCCTCAGAGGGCCTGAGACTTCCAGTGTGCCCCTGGACGCTGTCTCGTAGGACCCACACTGCTAGAATCCCGTTGCCCTCCCTGTAATGGTATTCCTCATCTCCCCCTCCTGTTTAAAGAACACTTCCTAGGCATATCATTAAGCAGATATACAGCAACTATTTAATTGAAAGCCAACTTGCTTTACAGATTTTTTTTTTAAATAAGGAATGCATGGCCATGGTGGTTATTTACACAGAGCTGTTCAAAAGCTGTTCTGTCCATGGAGCCACCTGGATTTTCCTCTTCAGATTCCAGGGCAGGTCACAGGAAATGGAAGTCTGTCTCAGCATTTTGCACAGGTGTTCGAGAGCATGCTCACTTGCTTATCTAAAAAACTTACAGTGTACTGACCATTTTGGGGTTTGATTTGGGAGGAAAAATAAAACTTGCAGGGATAATGCCTCAACTCGTATTTGAAGATAATATGGTCACTTTCAGAATATTCTGAAGAAAAAAGGCCAGCTCTCTATTAAGTATCCACAACCACTAATAAAACTAAGAAGCCTCCCACCCTTTTACCCATTAATAACTTTGCTTCGCATATGATTCACTATAAGAAATCTTCTTTGAAAGATAAATAGTTTGTGACAAAATGTTTGAGTACTGAACCCAAGAATACAGAGTCCAAACACCAAGGATTCAATTAAACTCGAACTTTATTGAATGCCTACACTGACTTGTTTGACAGATATAGTGCAACAGAGAGAAGAATAATTAGTGAAGAGAAGGCCTGATTCTAGCCCTGCTGCTGCCTATAGCTTGCTCTGTAACATTAAGCATTTACTCATCTTTTTTTTTTTTTTTTTAAATAAGACAGGGTCTCACTCTGTCACCTAGGTTAGAGTACAGTGGTGCAATCTCAGCTCACTGCAGCCTCAACCTGCTGCCTCAGCCTCCTGAGCAGCTGACACTACAGGTGTACAATACCATGCCCAGCTCCTTTTTCTTATTTCTTGTAAAATGGGATCTCACTGTGTTGCCCAGACTGGTCTCAAATTCCTAGAATCAAGCGATTCTCCTGCCTCATCCAAAATACTGGGATTACATGCATGCAGTATACTACCATGCCCAGCCTACTCATGTTTCTTGATTTCTGTTTTCCCACTAAAAAACACCACTTTTCAACCTGTTTTCGGCCTCAGAACATTTTCTTATAGGGTAGCCCAATATAACAGAAGATTACAGTAACTTTTCACAGACTGAAGTAGTAATGTGAAACGGAAGGAAAACAGCAAAACCCTCATCCCTGCCACAAGCATACTTCAACAGTGGCTAGAGAGGGCTCCTCAAAGCCTAGCTTGAAATAAACACCAAATATGCTAAGATTCTGCAAAAGGATCTGACTTTTTCCTGCTTCTCCTAACGTCAGGAAGAGGAATTAACAGCACTCAGTGTAGTTATGCTATGTCTTGAGACTTGTTCAAAATCAAAATTACAGAACACATACTAATCCACTTTAGGCAAACACTGCATAGAGTTCAAACCCACCATGAATGATAGAGAGCTAAAAGCTGTAACCCAATTCTGTGGCTTGCGTGGGAACAATCTGCTACTAAAATAAAGGGGCAGGCCAGGTGTGGTGGCTCATGCCTGTAATCCCAGACTGGGAGGCTAAGGTGGGCAGATCACTTGAGGTGAGGAGTTCGAGACTAGCCTGGGAAACACAGCAAAACCCCATCTCTACTAAAAGTATAATAAATTGTTTGGGCATTGTGGTGCATGCCTGTAGTCCCAGCTACTCAGCGGGGCTGACACAGGAGGATTGCTTGAGCCTAGGAGGTTGAGGCTGCAGTGAGCCCTGATCATGCTACTGCATTCCAGCCCAGGCCAGAGTGAGACTCTGTCTCAAAAAATAAATAAAAACATAATAAATTTAAAAGGGCAGGTCTTTCCAACACTTTCTCCTGGACCAACAGGCAGAAAGAGGGGCAGTGGTTCCAAGATGCTAAGTGTCTCAAAAATGAAGAGTGCCACACTACACACTGCTGCTATCTGAGATCTGTAGTCAGTCATCAGACCTGGTCTGAATCTGCAGGCCCAAGTGACAGAATTATTTCTAGTCACCAGGTCCTGCTGTGAAGCCCTCAAAGAGGGCAGGGCACAAAAGGATCAGGGACGATGCTTCCCAACACTATGCCATCTAAGTTTCTGTGAGGCAATTCAATCCTAAGCTCAACAACATAACACAGCTCAAATGACACTCCTGAACAAGGCCAAGCCCTCAGGAAGGTAGGAGTCATCATCAGCAGTCTGCCTTTACATGCAACCAGGCTGGTACCAGGCACTGGGCACAGGTGACTTATTTTGCCACAAGAGCTAATCACCTCAGGACTGAGGTGGTGATTTACGAAGCTTTACTAAGCTTCCCCATTCTGATGTATATTTAAAGAAGGTCTCATTTGCACACATCTTAAAGAAAATGATTTGGCATTTCCCTCTCTGCCATTCTCTTCTTTCAACATATCACAACTTCAAAGAGTAAGAGTTTGAGCCACTTCTAACCTTTTCCTCTCATTTTCAGTGCAATTGGCCATCTGTATCAACAGTTTCTACATCAGCAAATTCGACCAACCACAGATCAAAAATATTTGGAAAATACATACATAATAATACAACAATAAAAATATGAATTTTTAAAAATACAGTATAGTAACTATTTCCATACCATTTATGTTGTATTTGGCTGTTGTTTTTGAGATGGGGTCTTGCTCTGTCACCTAGGCTGGAGTTAAGTGGCTCTATCACGGCTCACTACAGCCTCAACTTCCTGGGCTCAAACAGTTCTCCTGCCTTAGTGACCCTAGTAGCTGGGACTTCAGGCATGCAGCACCATGCCTGGCTAAGTTTTTAAAATTTTTTGTAGAGGCAGGGTCTGACTATGTTGCCTAAAGCTAGACTTGAACTCCTGGCCTCCAAGCCATCCTCCTACCTCAGCCTCCTAATGTGCTGAGATTACAGGAATGAGCCATCACGTCCAACCTGTATTAGGTATTATAAGTAATCTAGAAATGTCTCCTGAGTAGCTGAGACTACAGATGTGCACCACCGTCACCCCTGCACCTTCCCATATACTACCACTTTATATAACAGCCTTCATCATTTGTAAATTTTAGTACCTAAGGGGTCCAAAACCAATCCCCCAGGATACCAAGGGGATATAAATAAGTTAAGCTCTAGTTTGTAATTATTTACTAATTAAACCGTCAAGTTCTGTAGTAATCTCTTCCCACCACCCAAAAGAAATAGGACTCATCATCATCTAGAAAAATGAACATAAGAACTAGTGAAACTAGATTTGAACTGAAAGACACTAACTCAATTAACCCTGGTCCATTATGGAAAGAGCTTCAGAACAGGGAGAACGGATTCTGGTTCACTTGTATCAACATCTATAAACAGACACAAAGAGATAATTTTCAGTTATCAAGACCTGGGGAGACAGGAGTTACCACATCATTACCATCATTTCAACCTAAGCTACCACTTTGCCTCAAAACAACTGGCAGCTAGTGTACAATGAACACTTCTTCCTACAGCACACGTAAACAGTCCCTGACTATTTCAAGTACTCATACAACGATTCTGTTTTTCACTTCGAGTATTTGTTCAATAAATTACATGAGCTATTCAATACTTTATTATAAAATAGCCTTGTTAGATACATTTACCCAGCTGCAGGCTAATGTTCTTGGCATGTTTAAGGGAGGCTAGGCTAAGCTATGAAGTTCAGTAGGTAAGGTATATTAAATGCATTTTTTACTTACAATACCTTCAACTTACGATGGGGTTATCAAAGGTAACCCATTGTAAGTCAAAGAGCATCTGTATACCAAAACAGCAGCAAAATCAGAGTACCTTTAAGTCGTGTAATGCGAGGCAAAACCACTTACCCACAACTGCAATAGCAAGTGGCATCAGCTGGCTTTCTAGGTTGCCCACCTTTCAGAAGAGTTTGTCCAAAAGCCTGCAAAGTGTAAGAAACAAATCCACTCGTACCCTAAATTACAAGGCCAGCCCAGCTCCAAGGATCCAATTCGCTTAATTTTGCAGATTCTTTCCCCAAACACAATTAGTAGCCAATGTAGGAGTCAATGGCTTCCCCTTGTGTTCAAGTCCCCTCCTACCCATCCACCCTCTTTCAAAAATTAGAAAAGAGCCACCAGTCTCCAAACTGACTGATGAAACTTCAGCCTACAGGATATTTTCATACTTGAGTTACAATAAACCATTGAAATAAAGATGAAGTGGAGAGCTTAGTAACCCATCGGATAGAGCATTTTATGCCCAGCATTAGCATATGAGTTAAATCCAAAATCTTTAACCTGGGCGAAAGCCAAATAATTAAATTAATAAATCTCACTATCGATTCTCTATTCCTTGGAGATACTCTAGTAGGGAGAGTGAAGCTGTTTGCCTGTTCCTAGCTGTTTACTTTAGTCATTTGCTTGCTAACTAAAAGACCTTCTGTTTGCAGTCAAGTCAGAATTAGTAATTCAGTACCAGGATCTACCTCGTCCCCTTCATTAACCTTAGAACTGCACAGAAAGCTCTGTTCACGTTTTCGACAGTCCTTCCACAGCTGCCACTAGAATACTAGAACCTAAAACAGGTGACAAGTCTTCAATTTCTGATCGTTTTCTCCAAACATTAAAAGGTTTTACTTAGCATTTCTAATACTGAGTTTACTACAAATAGCCCAAGCAACATTTAAGTCTCTCAACCGCCTGGCTCAAAGAGCCAATTCACTCAAAGAACACACTAGTCACTGTTGTGGGGTTCAAAAGAAGAAAAAAGCATATTCTGTTTCAGCCCACTGTGACATGGCTCAAGAGGGCCAAATCAAGGAGTCATGATTGGGCCTCTCAAGTGGACAATCTGGTCAAGGTGAGGCTGAAAAGCAGTACATTATTGGAGATGAATGCCCCCAGCAGGAGGCAAAAGTAGGTTACATCCCTTGGTTACATGCCAACACAAAGATGCCAACACAGTGGAATTGAGCCCCATAATGGTAATTTATCTAATGTAATCCACTGAGTGAATGTTTAGCACCAACCTACACCTGAGCGTTACTAGTCATCAGGAGGACCAGACAAGAGTGGAACTATTGCAACATAAACTCTGCCTCCCTACAAAAGACAACCTGAAACTTAGATCCTGATGGACATCTTGGTAGACTGACAAGGGCATGTTATTAACACTTGCCCAATCTTTCAACTTTAAATACATGCAGAGCTGGAAGCAAAGGAGTATTCGTATACTAGAACACATTCAGAGAACATATTATGCAGTTTTAAATAGCAGCATATAAGACAAAATAAGGAAAGAGGTGTGCCCTCAATTGAACATCCTGCTGAAATCTGAACACTCAGCTCGAGATTTATCTGCTAGAAAAGACCCAGGTGACCACTGCCTCTTCCTCTCCCACTCAGCAGAGTGACTTTTTTTTTATTATGATAGTCCACCAGTATCTGCAAAAACAGTAAGTGTAAGACCCTAGTTAAGGCAATAGAATTAGTCAACAAGCAGCATCATTTTTTACTTCCTCCTTCTTCTGGCTCTTACTTTGTTTGCCTACCTATTCTGAGCCCCACATCCACCTCTCTGACCTTATCTCCAAACCTTCCTGGTGTTCACTAAGCTCTGTCTATTACCTACCCAACCCATCCTCTTCCCACTACCTCCCACCTAGCCTGACCCTTTCTTCCCATTGCCTGGACTTTGACAGGCACATAGCGGCCACTTTCTGCACCAGCTGTTCCCTGAACCTGGAAGGATCTTCCCCTTGTCTTTGGCTGGCTCCTTCTTTATACTTAAAGCTCAACTTAAGTGTCACCTCCTCAGAAAGGTCCTATTTAACCATATCTACAGTTAAGGCACTTCCTATCACATCACTCTTATTTTCTTCAGCACTTGATCAAAATCTGAATTACTGGAGTATACATTCTCTCTTCTCTTTCTCTCTCTCTCTCTCTCTCTCTCTCTCTCTCTCTCTCTCTCTCCCTCTCTCTCTCTCTCTCTCCCTCCCCCCCTCCCCAGCTCCCACTCTGATGTAAGCTCCATGAGAGGGTGAACCTTTTGCTTGTGTTCACCTTTGTACACCCAGTGCCTGAAACACTGGCTAGCACTTAGCAGTCAATAAATGTTTGCTGAATTAATGAATTGTGGACTTTTTATTCAATGGCAAACTAGGTTCCAAATCAGTTAAAGTGAGAACCGTAGTCATTCTTCTGTTGTATTTTTGTGAAACACCTACACATGCTGTTACTGGTACAATCAAGGCATTAAATATTCTGTTTCATAGGGTCTGAAAGTCCTGAACAGGACTTCCTAGCATCAGATATTCCTAGCGCTATGCCTATCAAGCTCAGTTACAGAAGGACAGGATTTAATGGGCACTTTCTAATCAAAGGACTCCTAAGACCGGGCCTGGTGGCTCACGCCTGTAATCCCAGCACTTTGGGAGGCAGAGGTGGGCAGATCACGAGGTCAGGAGTTCGAGACCAGCCTGACAACATGATGAAACTCTGTCTCTTAAAAAAAAAAACAAACAAAAAAAAAAACTCTTTAAAATGTGGGCACTACCTCTTAAAGTTCTTCAGAAAACAGTTTCAGATCCTACAAAAGATTTCCGAAGAATATATCAACATCAAAAGGAAAATCATTACTCTTCACTCTGAAATCTGTATGAGAGGCTAGAAGAGTGCTCCTTGGTGATTTTTTTTTTAAACTAACAGCATATCAACAAAGAGGCCTTCTTTCCATTCTCTGCTTTCTTCAAACAATTTTTTTCATATCCGTTATTGGTTTGTATTCGCCCTTAAAACCAAACAAACTAAACAAATCACATTGTCTCATTTAGGACCCCCTATACACAAAGAATCAGCTACATAAAGATGAAAATCAGCACAAGCTGAATGTCACTGAAGATTCCTGTGCCACACACAAATGGAGAAAAAGATAAAAGAGCTATTGTCCAATTGTAGAAACAAAAAAGTAATATGGGGTTGTCTGTTCTCTGAAGTGCATCATGAAAAGTGGGTGGAGAGAAACACAGAAATCCAGAATTAGCCTAGCAAATCATTTTGGGAAGAGCTAACAACATGTAAATTCCTCACACATAAAGTATTTTGAGCAAGAGACCTTGATTCCTGGGCTATGATGCCATTCAGGATTCCTTGCAAAGGCTTTGGAACTCCAGTATTCATAAAAGAAAATGCTCATTATAATCGGAGCCACCCGGCGTCAGAGGTACTCCCAACGTGACAGCCTGTGTGAAGTATTACAAAGCTTGCAGTTAAGATCTGGGATAGAGGCTGAACACCAAATTCAAAAGAGGTAACCAAGGCACTAAGTGGCATAAAGGAAGAAAGGGGAAGAACAAAAAAAAAAAAAAAAAAAACAATTGCCACTCAGCCAGAGAATTAAAGTGGAAACCAGGGGTGTGCATGGGGGAGGATGAGAGGTGAGAAGTGGGGGGGAGGGCAAACAATACATTTGTCACCCCGTCCCACTTCCTACAGAGGATACAGGCAAAGCCTCCAGCCCCATTACCTCGAACACAGATGGTTACCGTTTACAGCAAAGGTGCAGAGAAAGGCCTTCAGGTCTAAGCCCCTTAATTCCAGGTTGTTAATGATTAAAGAGAAGGATGGGGGTGGGGAGGGAAATGAGGGCGGAGGGAGCTGGGAGATTCGCCCACCACCTCCCCCTTGGGTTCCTACCTCACAGCGCTCACCCAGGACACAGGACCAGAGTCTGCACCTACTCCAGGGCAGTTCCAACCCCTGATTCCCAGGCCCTGGGTTGAGGGGTGCTGGCCATGGGGAGGCAGGGACAGTAGGTAAGTTTTCTGAGCCCTGCAGCTGACACGCCACAGGCTCCCCTCACAGCCTCTTCTTCCAGAGGGACCAGTCCAGACAACGCGCTGACTTCCACTCCTCCCTTGCCACCCCCCTTTCTCGAAGGTACCCAACCCTCGCCCCTTCATCTCTCAATGTCCCCCCCCCCCGCCTTTTCCTTAACTCCCCCCTCCCCAAAACTCACAGCTGCTCCAGAGGTTCCTCCAGTCAAACCCTTTCTGGAAACGACGGCGGCCCGGCGGGTCCAAACCACCTACCATCCCCGCTTGCGTTTCCAGGCTCCCTACCCCCGCCGCCGCCGCCTCTTCTTCCACCACTGCCACCGCCTCCTCTTCATCTGCGGCCCACCGGCGGCGGCCGCCCCGAAGCCCCGCCCCCTCCATCGCCTCCTGCATCATCACTTCCGGTAACCCCGCCGGCCGCCAGCTCCAGGAGGGAGAATGGGAGAGGGGCGAAGAGGGAAAGAGTGGAAGATTGCGTCAGGACGCACGCAAAGACGTACGAAGCCGTCGCCAAGTAAGGGCAAAGACCTAGCAACCCGGAGGAGGGAGCTGGGCTGGACCATTATTTTTTCTTTATTCACGGGAATGGAGTGGGGAGGGTGACGAAAGTGTAAAGGAAAAATAGGGAGAGGAGGCGCTCAGCTTATTATTGGATTTAGCGGGAAATGGGTACAGTCTGAGGTTCGGGGAGGCTCGAGACTCCCCCAGACCTGAAACTGGTGCTCCCACAGAGGTGGGCCCGGTGGTTTGGTCCAGCCTGGCCTACTGGACCCGCCGGTGTTGATCGGCCGCGGCTCCGCTAGGCTCCTGGCGCCGCCTCCTCCCAGCCCGCTGTGGGCTGCGCGCTTCTGTGGGTGGGGGAAGGCAGGACTGACGCAGAGTGAGTGTAGGGGATGGAGGCATCGACTCCAGGCGCGGGAGACTCTGGGGGGAAGGGGTTGGCTCGCCAGGGCAGGGATGGGTTGGAGGTTGGGGTGCGGCGTTGCCGGGAGACGCTCCTGTGTGACCCCAGCCTCGCGGGGGCGGCTCGGTGTCATCGCCACCGGCCTTGGAACTTTCCTCACGGAAGTGGCTCGCGCGTCCAGGAGGGGAGGCCTGGTGTGGGGACGCTCACGTGCCAGCTTGGGGTTCCCCGGAGGCTGTGAATCTTTTGGACCCCTAAATGTAAATGGGAGGTGGTAGGGGCCGCTCGAGGGCGAGACGTGTCTGGCTGGGGCAAGTTGACCCAAACCATGTCCCGTACAGGAACCGAGACTCCCTAGGACAGTGAGAGCCAGCTTCATAATTTCCTTGCTCTGTTACTGAAAAGTAACGAGTGCAGGAAGGAGTTAAATAAATAAAGAAGGTATCAGCAAGTGAGAAATGCCCCCCAAAGACCGGATGAGGTGACAGAAGATTGGGGGACGGCCCCTCGAAATCGGGTAAGGCCGTTCAAAGGAGGCCACGGTTTTTCGGGGATCCGAGACAATGGGTTTTCTGAATGGAGAGAAGAGCCAATGAGAAGGATTTTTAGGTTGGAAACCGCCAGAAGGCCTTGTGGCTCAAACAGACAGGGCCAGGGGCGGAGTGCTCTGCGGTGTAGTTGGAGAAGTGGCAGGACTCTAGCAGCGCCTTTGAGCCCAAGGCAGGGGTTTGGCTGTTGTGTACCTGAAGGTTTTTAAGAAGGGAAGTGACCTGACTTGATACGCATTTTTAAAAATAGCTCTGCCTGCTGGATAGAGAAGGGTGGAAGTAGTTAGACCTGTTAGGAGACTGTTGCACTGTAAGACAAAGAAAAGGTGAGATAGTGTTGAAAGGGCCCTTAGCCACAGTAGAAATGGAGAGAATTCCATTCAAGGTATATTTGGGAGGTAGTGCATGCAGGACTTGTCCGGGAATTGGATGTGAAGTGTGGAAGCTAGGATAACTCCCTAAGGGAAAACAGTTTAGAAAGGAATATGGAAAGTTCTCTTTTGAACATATTACCTTTGTTAAGTCCCTTAATAATTCAAATGAAGTTGTCAAGAAGTTAGATACACAATTCAGGGGGAAAATCATAGCTAGAGATAATAAATGGGGAAGGCAGGGAGGACCTGTCAGATCGAGGAAGAGGGTGTAAATGGCTTGCACGGTGGCTCCTGCCTGTAATCCCAGCACTTTGGGAGGCAGAGGCAGGCGGATCACAAGGTCAGGAGTTCAAGACCAGTCTGCCCAACATAGTGAAACCGTGTCTCTACTAAAAATTAGACGAGTGTGGTGGTGTACACCTGTAATCCCAGCTATTCGAGAATCGCTTGAACCCGGGAGATGGAGGTAGGTGGCAGTGAGCCAAGATCGCGCCATTGCACTCCAGCCTGGGCGACAGAGCGAGACTCTGTCTCAGAAAAAAAAAAAAGTGCAAACAAAAGAGGAAGACCCCTAGATCCCTTGGGTTCTTATCATTTAGAGATTACCCAGAGAAGGAGAAGCCAGCAAAGGAGACAACACAGATAAGACCTTAGAGATAAAAGGAGGAGGCCCCTTAATATCCTGGAATAATGAGACCCATCCCCATAATCAGTGAGTCTCATCTACCCACTTGCCAGCTTCTACCAGCAGCAAGGAGAAGTTATGTCCTGGCTCAAATCTCTTCCCTCTTCCCCCTCCCAGCTGTCAGTGCTTTTGGCCTTGTGCACAGGTAATTTGTGTCCTATATAGAAAACCTGACTTTTTGGATAAATTGTCTTTTTCTTTGTGTCTTCCTGGCTCCTGGTACAGAGCCTTATCCATATGGTGGTTGTAGCTGGACAGGAACACTGTTCATAAGTTATTAGCTATGGAATCCAGCAGCTTGTCACAAAAAGGGACTTTTGTCCCTGCCACTGCTGCCAACCCCACCACAATTACGGTCAGTCCCACAATATAGTGGAAAGGGTATCAGAAGAAGAATCAGAAGGCCTGGGTTTCAATCCTGGATCTGCCACTGACCAGCAGAGTGGCCATGTATAAAGCTCTTCTCTCTGAGCTGATGGTTGGCCTAGATTCGAAGTTGCAAACTGACAAGACAGATATTGCCTGGAAACATATTGTTCAGCCCACACAGTGATTTAAATTCTTTTTTAAATTTACTTGCCAACACTTAAAAATTGGACATCAAAATCCAGACATTTGGCTTCATTTGAAAAATCTGACAATCTGACAATACAAGCCTGAAGTTCCTAGAGGTTCCTACACAGCAGCTGTCAGCCAGACCTGAAGAGCTGCTTCCCCTCCTATCCGGCTCAGGCTCAGGGTTTCCAAAAAGCCCTCCTCTTCTGCTAACCTCGCTGACCCTCTTTGGGCATTTGATTTGCAATTCTTGGTCTAGGTCTGTGCTATCCCTATGTAGCCACTAACCACCTGTGATTATTTAAATAAAAATACAGTTCCTTCGACACACCATATTTCAAGTGCCAGTAGCTACCTGTGACAGGTGTGTCTTATTGGACAGAGCAGATAGAAAATTTCCTTCACAGAAATCTTGGTCAGCACTGGACTGGAGGAACTCGAAAAGAAAATTTCCTTCACAGAAATCTTGGTCGGCACTGGGCTGGAGGAACTCGAGGGTACTACGTAGGCTAGTCATTCTCCGCATATAAAACTCAAGGGACTTAGCATAGTGAGGAGCTCTGGTGCCTCTGCTGATGGTAAAGTTGCTCATTCAGTCGTTACTTGGTGGAGGAAGCTGTTCTGAAGGTGTGGATCCCTGCACAGAATGCAGTTATTTATCAGAGTTGGATCAAGGGTCAGGTGCTAGAAAGCCCCAGCTACATCGATTGTGCCCTGCAAAGCTCTGGTCAGTTTCCTAATCCAAGTCCTCAGAAAACTATCACAAAGCAGGAATTTAAGTCAGTGTCTTGTATTCTCGGACTTTTCTAGTTGATGTGAAGGGTGAAAGATCCTGGCTGGGGCGTTACAATGAATGAATGGTTGATCTTTAGTGTTTTGTTGTTTTTGGCCTTCTACTTCCAGCCCCTCCCCTACATCTCCTCCACTGTCCCCTACTTCTGGTAACTGGTAACTGCTTTTCACCACCTCTCACTGACCCACACCTTTTCTTTGACTGTTAAAATACGCTGATAAGGGAACCACTTCCATTTCTTTTGAATTGAGGGACCCATAACTTCATTTCGAACTGCTGTCCCTGAAGGGAAAAATGGCTATTGGTTGTTATGTTGGTTGCAGTAGCCTGATTGGAGTTCCCCTGCGCAAGTATAATCTTGTGTGTGCTCCAGTGCTGGTATGATATATTTAGAATGGGTGTGCTTGCCTCCTGTGACCTTGTTTGGGATAGTCATTTTAGAAGTCTTTCAGACATTAATATTTTGTTTTGGCCCTGTGTTCTAAAAATTTCCCATATTACAGGGCCTAAACTAAATTATTTTCCCTTAGGTGATACGAAAATACTGTCTACCTTCTCCTCCCTGCCCCCTGAGGCTGACAGACCATATTATCGTCATTTTCTGTGTAAAAAGATGCTGTTTCATAAAATAGCGGTAGTATGATTAAGTACACCACACAATGTGTGCTTAATTTGAAATTTGCAAAACTGTGTGGCATTACACTTCCCTTTTTGGATTCTAGTAACCAAAAACTGAATCTGAGACAGGAAATAAGAGTGTGTGTGTGTGTGTGTGTGTGTGTGTGTGTGTGTGTGTGGTTGGTTGATGGGGGGAAGGATATGGGACCAGAAATGTATGGAAAAACGTATGGAGAATCACTTAAAGGTTATTTGATTGGGGTAAGATTATGGGTGTACACCAAAAAGAAAGGAGTATAAAAGATCTAAGAGAAAAGTGCACTGAAGGATAAACAAGGAGTAACAGATAAAGGAAGAAAAATAGGAAGGGAAGCCTGGTCATGCCTTTGGTGTTGGCACCTGCATTATATTTCCAGTAAGAAGTATGCGCTGTGGTCTGAAGATAAGCGATGCTTCCAACAGGGTTATTTACTCATACCAAAGAACAATAGCCCTTTGCTGTACAGGGATTATTAATGATCAGAGGGAAACAGCTTTAGGAAAATCCATTACTACCACAAAGCCATAAATTCACCAGCAGGCCACACATTTCTCTCCTCTGCAGACAAAGCTTAGCATAGATAAAAGAGGCCTCATTGTTCCTCCTCGGTTTCCTCCTATTTAGGTAACATTTGCCTTTGTTAACTCTCAGTGCTAGGTGATGTACATGGGTTATTGAATAAATAATCCTTATGAAAGGGATTTTGCTGTTACCCCATTTTAGATTGTTAGAAACCAGGTCTCAGGCAGGTTAATAATTTGGCCAATCAAGATTCAAACCCAGTTTTGTCCACCCAGAGCCCAAAATAAATATTCATTTATTTTGTATTATATCTGCTATTCTTTACAAATTTAGAAAAACCTCTAAAGCCAAGACAGACATTCTCTACTCTGCTATACAGGGCAAAAAAGTCTGGTTGCTTTGGCATTATCAAGAGCATTTCAATTCAGTAGAGGTTTTCCAAATGACGGTTTTAAGTCACAGTTTTCTAGATTGA